CACCATACCTGGCTCCTCCCATTGACTGATTTATCTATAGTTTTATTTATTTGGAAACAGAGCTTCACGATGGAGATCAGGCTGGCTTTAAACTCATTATGTAGCCTGGCCAGCCTCGAACTCCTGGTAATCACCCTGCCTTAGCCTCCAGGGCACTGGATATTAGAGGTGTGCACCACCTCGCCCAGCTCTTCCCCTTTCTTGATGAATGAAATAATTGGATATCTTCATTGCTTAAAACACACCTAGTTGGGCAATCTGTCATTTCTCTTGAAACTATTCCTAACAAATAGCTGCCGACAGTGCAAACAAGAAACAGGTTTCATGAGGGAAATATATCTCAGAAACAAAAGTTCCCAGGACAAAGTCCCTGTGTATACCAACTATTTACAGCACAAATAAGGTAGAAATGAGAAGCACATGGAGAGGTCTGTGGAACGCTGCACTATGAAACATGAGAGCATTGTGGAATGCTGCGCTACGAAACATAAGAGCATTCGCATGGGAGGATTTCTGTTATCTCTGGCTTTCTTGGGTCCACAGACTCCCTACCCACTTCTCCTCAGCTCTGAGACCAGCCCAGATTTTTAACACACTAAGAACGTAAGCACGGTGAGCCCAAACCTGCCTCCTCTCCTGTGAGCAGACACCACAGTGCTTCCTTATTCAGCCAAAGCGCTACGAAACATAAGAGCATTCGCATGGGAGGATTTCTGTTATCTCTGGCTTTCTTGGGTCCACAGACTCCCTACCCACTTCTCCTCAGCTCTGAGACCAGCCCAGATTTTTAACACACTAAGAACGTAAGCACGGTGAGCCCAAACCTGCCTCCTCTCCTGTGAGCAGACACCACAGTGCTTCCTTATTCAGCCAAAGCAGGACCAGTGCCCCTCAGCCAGAACTCTGCGCCCACATTCTTCCCAGTGTGACAGAAGACTTCCTTTGACTCCCCCACCCCCTTTTTTTTTAAATCCCTTTGCCAAGTACAATTACAAAAAATGATAACTTCCTTCTCTGAGATTTTTACCACCTGGTCCAAGCTCTCTTGCTCTTACATTTATGTGTATGACTGTTTCCCTGCCTGAGTTTTCCTTCTTTTACAGCCCTCATTCACCATGCTCCCTGCTTCTAAACAAGGGCCACTCTACACAGTCTTCCATCCCACTTCTGGTACTGCAGGCCTACCTTCCATGTTATGCCATCTTCCCGAGGATAAAAGTTCTGGCCAGAACTCTGGAAGACATTAGCATAGGAAAAGACTTTATGAACAAATCCTCAGTAGCACAGGAACTAGCAGAAAGAACCAACAACTGGGATCTCATCTTATTAAAAAGCTTCTGCACTACAAAAGAAACCAACAGAACTAAGAGACAATGTATAATGTGGGAAAAAATTTTTACCAGCTGCTCCTTAGACAAAGGACTGTTATGTAGAACATTTAAAGAACTCAAAACAATCAGCACACCAAAACATAAAGACTGAATTCAAATATGGGAATCTGAAATTAACAGACATTCTCAGACGAAGTAAAAGCAACAAGTAAATATATGAAAAAGTGTTCCATATCACTGGTCATTCGAGAGATGCAGATGAAAACAACACTGAGATTCCACCTCATCCCACAAAGAATGGCTGCTATCAAGAAATCAACCAATAACAAATGTTGGCGCGGTTGTGGGGAGAAAGGAACCCTTCTCCATTGTTGGTGGGAGCACAGACTGGGGCAACCACTATGGAAATCAATATGGAGATACCTCAAAGAGCTGCGACTAGAGGTTCCATTTGACCCAGCCATCCCTCTGCTGGGTATCTTTCCAAAAGAACTAAAAGAATCATATCACAGAGAAGTATGCACACCCATGTTTATAGCAGCAGAGTTTGTAATAGCTAAAACTTAGAAACAGCCTATTTGCCCATTAGTTGGAAATTGGATAAAGAAGGTGTGGTTTTTTCTATAAATGGAATATTACTCAGTGATAAAGAAAAATTGAACAAGAAATTAGATTCATTCATAGGAAAATGGATACATATTGAGGATATACTCCTAAGTGAAATAAATAAGTCACGCATGTGTAAATACCCAATGGTTTCTCTGGTGTGAATAAAGTACAATAGTACACAAGATCCTAATGGGATAATTAACAATGTGAAATTGGAAGAAAGGGGCTAAAGGCGTAGGGAAAGTGGGAAGGGTAGGGGAAAGGGAATAAGGGCAAAGAAAAAATATGGCAAAATGCAAAGATGGAAATAAAGTGTTTGCAAATGGGGAGGGGAGGAGGGGTGAAGGGAGGGCAGGGACAAGGGGAAAAAAGGAGAACCAAGACCTGTCATGTAAAGGTACAAGATCCCAGTAATGAATGTAATTGCATTATATACCTAGAATATACCAATAAACAATAAAATGAAAAAAAAAAGTTCTGTCCATTACCTGGGACGATGATCTGATGTTTCCTGCTTGTGGACGACTCTCTCTATATGAATCACCTTGGCTTACAACAGGCCCATGTCTCAGGCCTCTGTGGGTCACCAGGAATCACCTCTTGCAATGTCTCATGTCTTCCTGGGGTTCTCGTACTCACCACCCCCTCCATCAGGGAGTCTAAGGTTCTTGCCAAGAACTCTGAACAGTCTTAGCTACCACCTGCAAGTTCCCAAGGTGGGCGTTCTCGATTTTGTGAATGCAGAAGACAGAAGAAAGACCTTGGAGTTGAAGACGACATTGTTTATTCCTCAGCAGCTCCAGCCTGAGTATCAGCTGTAACATCCTCAAGCTCCAGTTCCCACAGGACAGTGCAAAGAGAGGGTCATGACACTTTCACTGACAAGGAATCTTGAACTGAAGAACACAAGTCTTACAAAGGTCCTTCAACATGCCTGTCCTTGGCCCCGGGCAGACACGGCCTCCATCTTCCAAGATTGTTTCCGCTGCAGGGGGTTATTACCCAGAAAACATAGTCTCTCCAAGAGACGTGAAGAAACAGCAAGGACCCAGGGAGCAGTGCCTCCACATACCCTCCATAAATCACATATTCCAGAATTTCTTTCTTCTTTCACCTTCATCAGTACTACTAACCCTCACTGAGAGTCCTGTGTGAGGATTCCAAAAGGTCTTCCTCTGTCCATTATCACCTTCTTACAATCCATTCCATACACACCACAGAGTGGTGTTCTTAAAATGTAAATCAAGGTGGTCTAGTGGCACACACCTGTAATTCCAAGGACACTGGAGGGGAGGCCAGAGGGCTTCAAGTTCAAGGCCAATCTGGGCTATGTAGTGAGACCCTGTTTCAAAATAAAAGCCCATTTTTAGAGTTGGGGATGTAGCTCAGTGTTAGACTGCCTACTGCAAGATTCTGGGTTCCATCTTTGGGATCACTGAGAATAAAGAAAGCAAGGAAGGAAGGAGGGAGGGAGGGAAGGAAGGGACAGAGAAGGGAGATGGGGGGGAGAGAGGTGTGTGGCAGAGAATCAAACACTCTTACTATCTCTCCCAGAGTCCTCTGCCCACATGTTTTATAATGCCTGACCCCTCATGGCAGGAAGTTCTTTGTGTTCTGACCCCCCTTCTGTTTTCAACTTCAGAATCTGTGATTTCTTCCCTCATTCACAATATTCCAGATCCGTGGCCTATCTTCTGCCTTCTGATAGTAAGTCTGTGGGACTCATGGAAGCTACCATATTTCCAAAATATTTATAAAATCCCTTCTCTCTTTTTTGTCCCTATGGATTCTGCCCTAGTTGAAGGCACTAATTCTTACTTAAAATATTAAAATGTTCTTTCAAACTGTTTTTTTTCAGTCTCCACTCATTCCTCATATTTATCCTACTGTCCAATACATTGCAAAATATTATACTCACCTGGCACGTAACTCTTTAACTTAGAAATCACAATGGAGCCGGAGTGGTGGTACAAACCTGTGTGTGTAAATGAAAGAAGCTCAGTTCTACCTACAGTTTTTCTACTCCATTTCACTTTTCATTTACTGGAAATTTACGATAAAACAAAAGTATACCAGAAAGAAATAAGAGAAAAATTTGGGGGTGTTCTGAATTTAATGACAAAGAACAGAAGTTCAGGGAGTTTGGAGTTATGGCCAAACCAGCAAAAGAACAGTTCCATATTCCCAAGGGTCTGTCACCACCTGACTCAGCCCAGTGGCCAATCACGAGATGCCACTGCATCTGCTCTCAGTGCAGCCAATCCAGAAGTGGTAATGACTTGTGTGTGGACTGCTTCCCACCCTAAGCTTTCTCCCACCCCTCTTATCTAAAATCAATGCAGGTTCATTGCAAACAACTTACACTTTTCTTCTCCAGTGTTTTGTTATAAAAATGCTCCTGGCTGTAGGCCTCCTGGATTATCTAACCCTGCTGGGTGGTCATTGAGGGAACTTGCTCCAGAACTTGGTCGTTTTCTGGCTGGATTGTTTAGAGCTTGGTGGACCTTGTGTTTCAGAGATTTCCCCAGTCTTGAGCGTCTCAGTTTAACAGGAGACTGTATTCACATTTCTACCGCCTGGGATTCATTCACCAGTTTTAACATATGTCCCCCCCTCCCTCCTTCCCTTCCTTCCCTTCCCTCCTTCCTCCCTCCCTCTCCCTTCTCCCTCTCCTTCCCTCCCTCCCTTCCTTCCTATTGTCCTTTCAATTTAACAACTCTTTTTAAAAAGATTTACATTGATTATAAAGAATTCCAACATAAAGCCACTGCACAAGGAGGGAGAATTTTTTCCATCACTTGATTGCTCTTGTAACTTTGTTAGGCTGTCAGCACTACAAGGTTTCAAGGTGGTCTGAGATGGCACAGTGGGTCAGGCAGTGTAAGGACCCCAAAGACTTACCAACCTTGTCTCTGTCTGGCACTTGCTGGAACATTTCAACATGTTCTTTTAGGTAAACGGTGATGCTCTGAATGGTTTTTTTAATTTAATTTATTTGGACAAGATTACTTTTTGCTTAGGTACAACTCAATGAGGGAAAAAAAGCTGTAAGATCTTTTCTTGCACATGACTGGTATCTGCAAACAAAAAAAAAATTTTTTTTTTTAAATTCACCTTTAAATACAACCAGTTTTTCAGGCTTCTTTGTCCACGTTACATTTTAAACATTACACAATAAACACTACCCCTCCAAACTTTCACAATACTGTTTTCTAATACAAACATTAAAAAGTTCGAAGGTTTGGCAACTGGGTCCAGGTCTCATGTGATGTAATCATTGCCTATAAACCCATGCACAGAACCAGCTAGTGAGTTTCTCAAGCCTAGATTAATTGGTCCAGTCCAAAGAAATACTTTTTCCGTGGTGTTTGCATTGTATTGGCTACAGTGTGCAGAAATACATATGTGTGGCGCCAATGCGTCTTTCTTTGTCTTATTTTTCCTTTAAAAATATTGTCACTGACTGTATTTGAACACAATGATTCTTTAGTGTGTGACTGTACAGTAGTGAGTGAAAGTGGAACATGTTCCTTTGCAAAAGAGGGAGAATTGAAAGCTTTGTATTGTGAGACTTAAGTTGCAACTCATTGCGTACTTTTTACTAGTAACCGTTTTTCTCTAATACCTTTCTTGGGGTATCATTTGCAATGTGAGTTTTTGTTTGTTTAAGTTGCTGTTTTAAGTTAACAGTATGCTTTAGGAGACTAAAGTTTTCTAGCCTGCACAGTTAGCCATTCAGAACAAGAGGGTCTGATTGTATAGAAGCCCCTGAAAAAAGTCCAGATGAGAACAGAGGTAACATGGGAAGAAACACCATCTGTGACTTTCACTAGGTAACTTCACAGTTGCAGTGCCATCAGAAATGGTGAATTTATAGTAAATCTGATCACTTG